AAAAGCACAATAGTGAGATTAAATATGTTTTCCTCACGAAAAAAAAGCAATCGAGGAAGAATATTCCTAAGATTGCACGAAATTGGATCTTTTGTTTTTTTCCGACAACCGTTTGTCTTAATAATGAAAAAAGTCTTAGCACTGGCCTACTTTTGCTGCAATTTACCGTACTCACGGTTCTCACATAACTTCTTCGAAGTAGTTGCACGCTCTTGCGCTGCTCTTTTGTTGCCAACTCTTTCATTAGTCCTTCTCCATTGCGACGATCATTTTCTTCATACTTCCTCAGGCAATGGATGAAAATTTAGATGGAATGAAGATATTGTCATTGAATATTATGCAGAAATATTAATTATTCTATTGATATTGGAATTTCTTCCTATATTTGCTTTGAATGCATCCAATCAATTAAGTTTAACAAATTTTGATCATTTTAATGATATATTAAAAAAATATTATATGGAAGTATATAAAATTTTTGTGTATAATTTGTTATATTTTTTCTTATGTTTTCTATTTTATGCTTTTTTTCTTTTATATATTTCTTTTATATATTTTCTCATTCTAAATTGAATTTTTTCATAAATTATTTTCTATATTTTTTTTTATTTCTTTTATGCATTACTTTTAATTTTTATTTTTTGCACATAAGTTTGCATTTTATTATCAATTTCCTTATTTTTTGATACTTCCTTACATGATATTGAATATATCATTATTGAATGTTTGTTTAAAGATAGACAAATCACTGGAAATTTTTTGTGATTCTTCAAGCATTTGTTTCGTATTCTCTTTCAATTTCTTTAGTCTATTCTTAAGAATAACAAAAATCAGAGATCAAGTATCGCTTAATAAAATATATAACTTTCTCTTACCTCATTACACTCTCGTAGATAGAATTTTCTGATTTTTTCGAGAAATTACACATTCGAGCTTTGAATTCCACTATAAATGGAATTTCTTTCAATGCTAAATCAATCGTTTCTCCAACTGAAATCACATTTTATCCGTTTATTTTATATCCAATATTATATTCTTTATTCTAATCAATGAATATTTGAATAGAAAATTGATTTATAAAAAGTAAAATAAAGCTAATTCAATATTAAATCAGAATTAAATAAATTCTATTTTTAAAATGTATTTATCGAAACAATTTATCAAAAAATATTAATTCTTTTTTCGATTTTATGTTTTTAATATATTACATTCAAAATAAATTGTTGTTGTAAATTGTTTAAATTTATTTTTTAATTTTTCTACCTTTCTTTTTTACCGTTTAACTATCTAATGTGTAATTTTATACACTGTAATTAACAAAAAAAATTTTTTTTTACTAGGAACATATCTCACTTTTTTCGTTAAAATCGTTGTTCGACACATCGATACTCAAATTTTCGAAATTGATGGAACCGGAAGTCAATATATCAGCCAGTGCCGTACCTCCTGCAGCTTCTATTTTGCAAGCACTCAAATTGAGAACTTCCAAACTTTCGTTTCTTAACAGAACTAAAACAAACACAGACAATGAACTCTTGGGAATGCAATTTCAATCTGTTCTTTGCCTAAGATCACTTCTTTGAAAATTGTATAAACTATACGAGAATCAAGTTAGTTTGTACAAGCTAGACAAAGATCTAAGGGAATAGATAGATATAAGGGAATTGTTCAATTGTAAAATTTTTTCAATTATTCAATGATATAAGTAACAATAATAAACATTTTTATTTTAAGAAAAAATAAATTTAAACAAAAAAAATGAAATAAATTAGGATTAATATATTCATTATATATAATAATTATTATAAATTAGTAAATATTATTTCGTTCATTATATTAAATGTCCTACACTATATATTCTGTGCATTTATGTAAGCATATATGTGTAGTTATAAATCATGGAAGATTAACTATTCGATGAAATGCAGAAGTCAAACAAAGATCCAGGGTAACTTCCGGCGAGAGATTAATGGAATGGAAGTTGAGCACAGTGTTTGTTCTATGGGATACAATCGCCTTTCGATACAATAGACAGTTTAAATATTGACTCATAAGAGGATAAAGTTAGTAACCCAATATCTTGTACACTTACAGGCACATATGTGAAACATCCCGTCGTCTAACAAAGGGTTCATCCCTAGATTCAGAACTTTAAATATTATCGCGTTCTCCAACATTAGCAGCCCATAAATTATGCCAGCAACTCCTTCCGGTCCTATGTTATTGTTCTCCAAATGCAATACCTTCAATTTCTTGTGCAACAATAGAAATTCACCAATTGCCTTAGCTCCTGTGTCTCCCAGTTTACAATGAGAGAAATTTAGTTCTTCTATCTATGCTTAAAAACATATTAAAAATATTATATGAGGAAATTTATTAAAAAATTGCTCGATAAAAAAACAAAGCATTATGAAAAAAGAGGATCAAATTATTTCAAATATTAAAAGAATATATAATGTTGAAGTATAAAGTATTATAAAAAAATGAGATGATTATAATAAGACAGAACTTTCAAAAATATTGTAAAATACTTTTTTCTTTTCTTTTATTTTTCTAAATTTATTATCAATACGAAGAGCATTAAAAAATTATTTAAGATATGTAATTCTTTTTTTTATTAGATTTATCATAATATTACGAACATTTTGGTTTTCCACCATTCCCTGAAGAAGAGCTGCAATACATAATTGGTCCACATTGCTCCTAGTTAAGCTAAACTTCTTCAATTTCTCACAAGCTTTAATCCCACGACCAAGACCCAGACAATCTTCAATGGAAATGCTTTATTTTTTTTTATTTTTATTTTCAGTTATTTATTTTATTACATAAATCAAACTTTTTGAGAAATATGCTATAACTTGAAAAAAAAAAAAACTCACTCAAAGTCTGTCCATTCGAAACCATCGTTCATATAAATCTGTCCAAAATTAATGCGAATTTCCGTAAGATAAGGAAAACGTGGTAGAATAATTTCTAACGGGATATGATGAACGGGATATTCTCTATCTTTTTCACAAGGATCTTCGTCGTTTAGAGATATCCTTGTTTTCCTGTGATATTTTAAGCAGATAATATATTGATTACATAACATAACTTGTAAAAAAAAGATTTCAATTTTTGAAATTTTATATGATCGAATAATAGTTATTTTTTGTAAATTCTTTTCAAATTATTTGGCTCTCTTTTTTATAAATATATCTATTTCTTTTTTAAATACTTTATACTTGTTTATATTTTTTATCTGTTTATATTTTATATTTTATATCTGTTTAAAATAAATTACCTACTTTGTAGGTATGAGAGAACGTATCTCTATGGTGTGTACATATTTATGCACTAGATCGATCATTTTTTCGCATTCTTCTTTTTGCGCTTCGAAGAAAGTTGGATCGAGATTCTCCAAATATTCGCCAAAAATACCCTCGCAATAACGTCGTCGCCAACAATTACCATGCATAGATAAATCATTGTGTTCCCATCTAAAATAATTCCAATCTTTTCGTGTTTTCGCATTTTAATTTGTTTAAAGTAACGTTTAAAGTAAACTAAAAAGAAATTTCCTTATGAAAATTCCGTAATTCTCATGTTGGAAATGTGTGTGTTGAGTACAGTGTTTGAGAGGATGTTTGTTGAAAGACTGCCAAGCAAAATTAATAGAATTGATACTGTATAAAGTGCATCATATATACTTATAGTAATATATATATATATGCATAATTAAAACTACTTTTTAATTAGTAAATTAAATTTGGAATTTTACGTTTTTATGAGGATTTAAAAATTTTTTTTTTTAAATTTTTGAAAAAAAAAAAAGAAGAAAGATTGAGAATTTCTTTTATCGAGAAAGATAAAATTATTAATCACTATTTCTAAAGTATAAAATTAAATGTTCTTTTTGTTTATTTATTTAAAATTTTTCAATTTCTTATTTTTCTATTTTCTTTCTCATTATTATTTTATTTTTATATTTTTATTAAAATTTTTCTTATAAAATATTTTAATATTTTTATTTTCGAATTTATTAATTTTTTTATTTTATAAATTTTCAAATTTTCAATTTTCTTATTATTTTTCTTTTTTTTTTTATTATTTTTCTATCATTTTATTGTAAAGTTTAATTTATAAGAATTCTCGAAAAGAAAAATTTAAATTTCTAAAAAACATATTTAGTAACAAGATTTTCGATTACAGCTATTTCACCTAGCTTTCGAGCAACGTTCCCAATAATATTCGTCCTCAATTTTCTTTATAGTCAATTCAAACGGCAAATCGGTGGACAAAATTTCTATTAGCTCATTTCTGTCCTCACATGTTGGTAATTCTTCCAGTATTGGATTTCTTTTCCATTCAGAGGCTATAACACGAAGAGCGAGGGTCTTTAAGCTCGGAACTCTGTCCACGTCCCAGTAAACATCTTCCGACCGAATTGTTCGTTCAGTCTCGGTCGGTAATTGTGTCGTTTCATCTGAACATCTTTCAGAAAGATATTAATATTAAATATATTTTATTATATGTATCATTAATCTTAAAAAATATGATTATAATAAAAATTATATAATAAAAATTAGAATTAGAATATTGAAAAATTATAAAAGATTAAATAATTTTTTTTAATTATTTTAAATAAGATTTAGAAATTTGAAAATTGAATGAAATTGTGGAAAATTAACTGGAAAATTAGAAAATTATAAAAAATAAAATAAAAAACTTACCGGTATGTTTCAAACACATATTTCGGTATAGTATACGGAATTTTCATTTTTGTTGCTTTTTTTATGCATTACATTCATACATATGCAAATATCCACTTCGATTCATTTCCTTCGTATCTTCACCATTTTATAACCTGTTTCAAATGAAATTTATTATTGGCAATGAAAACTTCTTTTTTCGACGAATTAATATATTTATTATTAATTATTTCTATTTTTCATATATATTTGAATGATTTTTTTTTTAAATTAATTAATATTCATATTTATATATATTCATATTTTTAGGAATGTCCAGAGGGTGTAGTGCACGAAGATTTATTTAAGGACATCTATGCAAAATTTTTCCCCCATGGCAGTAAGTTTTAATTAAAGATCCTTTTCTCTTGAATAATTATTGAGAAATTATTTTAATATTTATTTGTGTTATTAATTGCAGATTCTAGTCTTTATGCTCATTACGTGTTTAAGGCGTTCGATGTTAACTGCAATGGTGCCATGAATTTTAGGGTAATTTTTATCTTCCTCTTATTATTTTTTTTTTAAGAACTATTTGTTAACAATTTTCTTTTTTCTTTTAAGGAACAATATAATTTTTTAATTTTAATTAAAATTTACAATATTATTTATTTATCGATTTCAATTAATTAATTCTTTAATTTTCTATTTATTATTTTTTTATTTTCTATATTACTTTTCATAATAAAAAGAAAGAAAAGAAAAAAATTCAAGTTATAAAAAATGATATTTTCTTCAGGATCTTCTCGTCATTTTATCGACTTTGCTACGAGGAAGTATCTACGAGAAATTACGATGGATCTTCAAGCTTTATGATATAAACGGTGATGGGTGCATCACCAGGGGCGAGTTATGGGAAGTAGTGATTGCGGTACATGAGCTTATGGGTCGACGGCATCACGCTGAAGAGGAAAGGAAAGCGAGAGAGCAATTGGATAGGGTGTTCAAGAAGTTTGATCTAAACCAGGATGGTATAATAACGATCGAGGAATTCATGGAGAGTTGTCTAAGGGTACTAACGTTTTATTTCACTATTTTATCATTTCTTTAAACAATATCGTTTTTTCATATATTGTTTGTCGATAACAAAAAATACTACAAGCTACTCAAAAAACTTTGAGTAACTTTTATTTTATTAAGATAAAAAAATAAATATAAGAATAATTATTAAAATGAAAATTTAATTACAATAAATGATATGGTAATGCAATATGATTAATAAAAATAATTTGTTTAGGATGACGTGACTACACGGTCGTTGGCAAAGTTCGACTACGCGTTTTGATCTCCGGAGAAGGAAGAGCCCCCGGTGATGACCACGACAACGCCGCCAACGCCGCTCTCTACCACTACGACTACCTTTTCACAATCCCAATCGCCTTCACCACCGCCGCCGTCCTACTCTTTGCTGCCACCTATTCCACCGCCTTTGCCTTCTCAACCACCTCCAGGTTATACCGTTCAGGATCAGGAGCTTTATATGCTCTTAGCGGCGCACTGGTGGAATCAACCGGAGGCTCCACTTTTTTGCTAAGGGTAACAATTTAGTGAACGAGTTAGCTCGTTATTCTTCTCTTATTTGAGATATATATTTTTTTTCAATAATATAATTGTAAGTGATAGAAATATGGTTTGGATAAGAATAAATTTCAATTAGTTTTAGGTAGTATAATTAAAAAAATAAATAAAAAATAATAAAAAATATATATATATAATAACATTTTATAAAAAATAGGCTTCTATTAAAAAGAATTAATAAAATTAGAAAACAAGTAGAAAAAATAATAAGAAAAAGAACTAGATCTTAAGAAAAAGCAAATATTTTTTTAACAGAATATAATCTAAAACGTTTCAATTTTTTTTCAGGATAGGATAAAATATGATTCCCAAATTCTACAATAAAAAATTCCAATTTCAAGAAAAATAAAGAATATTTAAAAAAAAAGCAAAAAAAAGACAAAAATAAAAAAAATCAAATTTTTAAAAATCTTGTAAGTTCAAGAATTTAATCATGCTCGTAGTCAACAGATGAACGAGCTACATGTATTTCTTCTTGCAGAAGAATTATTTTATGTCACGTAAAGTGAGCGTTAAACTATAATATCTAAACTATAATGGAAAAAGAATACTTCCTTTGGGAGACGGGAGATAATTTGTCAATTGTGGAATCGAGAGTAAAAACTCGAGTCAGAAATTATCATGAGAAAAAGAAATGTTTCAATAAATTAGGAGAGTAAAAATTAAATCGACTAATACATTATAAAGAAAGAATATTAGTAAAATATTAATAATCTTTGAAGAAGGAAAAACATTGAATACGGAAGAAAGTATTTAAGAATCTAATATATTACACACTGAAGAAACGTTGAAAACATTGAAATGAAATGAATTCGAAATGAAACAGTATTTTATCTTGTTTCACATCCGTGCCAAATTCTGAAAACCTATTTTATTCTTTCATAAGCAATGGAAGGACGTATGGCTGTGTATACAATTGAAAGACAATTTTATCTTTATAATTAATATGAAAAATAATGCAAATGATGAAATGTTTATGAAGTATTGATCTGAAGAACAATTAATTACGTACAGGATATTTCTTAAATTTTATCGAGAATAATTTTTCACAAATCAAATAATATTGAATATTTGGGAACAAATGAATAAAAAATTTATCAAATATATACTCTTTAGTAAAGATTTTCTTCTGTGGATGAAAGTTATGTTATTATGTAGAAAATTATTAAATTTTAAATTTTATTAAATTATTAAATAAATAGCTAAATTGAAGAATATAATAACTCTTTGATTCAAATCTGTTAATAAAATTTTTAGCAAAATATAATTAATTTGAGCAACATTTCCTTTACATATACAAGTATAGATAGAATTATATTAAATATAATACCATAAAAATTTGAAAGCTAAAACTGATTGTGTAAAAGAAAAAATCGAAATAATTTGAAATTTATTAAGATCAGTAAGATGATATAAATGATTAACCAAAAATATTTAATAAATACATGTATTCGACATATGTAATTTAATTATATTTTTTTGAAGGATAATTCCTTTTTCAAAATTTAGATTTTTCACATAATAAATTTAATAAATTTAATATTTTGAGCTTGATAAAGAAGCTATATTTTTTTCTATATTTCTCGAGGAATATATATTGGTTTTGTACTTATTGTATGAACAATTTACACATTAAAAACTTCTTCAGTATGCAACGAGCATTTGGCGATAGAACTTTAGAGATGTTAAAGAGATTCAATTTTCTATTGGAATAATCAAATAATTTAAAAAGAGAAATAAGAAGGTATACGAATACAATGTGGTTCTCTTAAAAAAAAGAGCAGAACGATATTCAGCTTTATCATATTAATTATATACACTATATACATATGTGTATCTTATACATATAATGTCTCTATAGGGTTCAACCATTTTAAGAGTCATTTGTAGAATTATATCATAGATATAAGTAATAATCAAAAATCAGTTTTCTAATATTGATTGTTGGTTGAAAACGATTTTCATACAAACATATATGTAAGCAAACATATATGTAAGCAATTAAAGAATATTAAGATTATATAGTATTATTCAATAGAAAAATAAAGAGGTGTTTCTATAATTATCTATATTCTGCAAAACGAAACACCAAATTGCAATAATCACTTAGTAATTCAAAAGAAAGAAAACTGAGAGGAAAAAGAAATTAAGAAAAATTATATAGGATTACACGAAACGATTTTGTTAAAGAATTGTACAATTTATCGTCGATTGAATACACGACAAGATAATCAGTAGCTATAAGCAGCTTGTATCGATTTTGAGATCACTAGTTTTTTTTTTCGAATCACATATATATGCCACACATATGCCACATTTTATCAATATATATACAATATTACGCGTTTTTTCAAATTAAAAAAAAATTTTGCACATGCACTTTCAAACATGTTTATATCCAATTTGAAATTTTCTTAATGATTTTTAAAACTTTTTTTTCATCTATTTATAATCACTTACATTTAATGCTAAAGAATTTTCTTATTCCAAATAGATTTATTTATTTACTTTAATAATTATTATATTAAATAATTATATCAAATAATTAATTATTACTTTAATAATAGTAAATAATTAGACATTCGTAGATAAATCAGAATTTTTAATCCCTTAAGTAGTTGTAGTTTTCAGATATCAATTTATAAAATTATTGGAGATACTTAATAAGAATTAATAAGAACGATTTATAAATAGTAGTTACCTTACATTAAAAATTGTAGGCAATACGTACATGTGTATAATATATGTACATATATATATAATATGTACATATATACACATAATATGTATATATATATATATATATATATATATATATATATATATATATATTATTATTATA